GGAATGCCGGTAAATCTCCTCACTGATTTACGCAATGAGATTTCATTATGTTTTCATCTGTTCTGTAAAACTGTGCTGATTTGTCAGTGGTAAATGGATAATATCTCACAATTTCCTCTCTTGCAAATGGGAGGAGAAGAGATGCAAGAAAAAGTGTTTTCTGTTTGCATAATAGTCAGTAGTGTGCCTTAGAAATGTTTTTTGTTCTCTCAAGTTTCCAGTGAAATAGTAAACTTTAAATGTGCAGATTTATTATTAGTAAAATAACTTTCAGTGTACTGTTTTCCACTTTAAATTTTTTGTTTCTCTAGTCATGGCCTTTCATTACAGTTTACCACTTGCATTGCATTCATAATCTCATTAGGACTGAAAGTAGTTTTTCTATGTAAAAAGTCTACACTTTGATAACTTAATTGGATTCTGGGATTTGAGTCAGTGATTTCCCACAATGCCAGTGCAGTGATGAGTTTGTTTTGACTTGACCTATTCATGCACTTACATGGCTTATGAATATGTGAAGTGCATGACTATTGCTGGCTTCTATTGTGATCAGTTTTGATTTGTATCTTCTCCTGAGGCTGGTATCAGGTGAACTTTGGGGATTAATATTTTCCTGTTTTGCACAGGGATCTAGTGGATGAAGCTAAAAACTATCTCCTGTTGCCCCAAGAGCGTCCACTGATGCAAGGACCAAGAACTAGGCCACGCAAACCCATCCGCTGTGGAGAAGTGCTCTTTGCAGGTCTGTAAGCCAGCTCCTGCTGGCTTAGGTCAGGAGATTCAGTTCTGGGTTTTCTGGTGGTAGTGTTTCTGGAGGGCCAGTCTTTACAACATACTTCTGAAGTGACCTGTGCATTAAAATTTGGAGGTTTGAGTTAATTTTCACATTCTTACTTGTGTGATTTCTTTGGTGCTATGAACACCACAGCACTTCCAAACTTACAGTAATACTCTTGAAAATCACATTCTGTCTTCTAATTGTTGTCCTTAGAATGAATAACTCAGAGACGGTAAGTGGGTTAAGACTCACAAAGTCCAGAGGGATTATTTGTACCAGGCACACACAGAGTACATGAGCTCAGTGCATTGTTATGACACTATTTCTTGTGTTTGGTTCTTACAGTGGGGGGCTGGTGTAGTGGAGATGCAATTTCCAGTGTTGAGCGCTATGACCCTCAAACCAATGAGTGGCGGATGGTGGCTTCCATGAGCAAAAGACGCTGTGGTGTTGGAGTCAGTGTTTTGGATGATCTTCTTTATGCTGTGGGAGGCCATGATGGTTCCTCTTATCTTAACAGCGTAGAAAGGTAGGTCTCTAGAAGGCCAGTGTGCAGGATGTTGCCTCTGAATGCTTAAACCTGGGTGAAGCCTCTTAAAAATGAATTCATTTTTCCAGCTCTCTTCTCTTTCTGCTGAAAACCTGAAATTTATACTACATTATCTGCATTTCCTCCTCCCTTGTGTACTCCTTCAATATTGTGTTGGCTTACTGCTGAACTAGGACTTAATGCATAACAGCTTGTGTCATGTTATCCCAGCTTAATGAGACAAGACATAGCCTTTGGTATAAGGAAGGCCATATGTAAGAGGTGGGTCTGGGTATAATTGGTGGGAGGAGTGCTGGTTCTGGTTAACCTTCTTTGCAATTATGGGTTTGTTTTTAGCATTGCTGAGGAAGGTGAGGTTACAGTAAGGATTTCTTAGATGTTGAGGGAAAGATCCTGGAATTTTGTTGTGGAGTGGTAACGAGATTTAAGGAACCTTGGCACTTACACAGAAGAAGGAAAATAGGTCAGTTTTAGACCTGTGAAAGACTTAAGTCAAAAAAGCTTTACCAGGCTTCATATGGCAATCCCCATACCTAAAAGCCATAAGACTTACGCGCTCCTAGTACTATAAATCTTTGCCCTGTAACAAATACAGTGACTTACACAAATGTCTGTTTTTTCCTTGAGCCTTTCCTTTCCATATATCTCCTTGCATGCTCCCAGGTTCCCAAATTATAACCCTAGCCTTACATCTCCTGTGTCCTGCACTTTTCTTCTATGCACCGTATTTCCTTGTCTCTGGATTCCCAAGTCCAAGTCATCTTTTATCTTGAAATGCAGGTCCTAGTGCTGGTTGAGTTCTTGTGTGAACTGCAGAAAACATACAGCAGAGTTACTCTGACTGCTGCTCTTTGCATAGAAGCAAGTTACCACATGCCAGCCAGTCTCTGGTAACCTGCTGTCTTATGAACCTGAACCTTTGATCTTCAGTTTGTATCATCTCACGCTGGAGTTTGAACATCCCTGGAACTGCATGTATTGGATGCATTATATCACTTCAGAGGTTTAGTCCAACTTAAAAATAGCTGCGTTGCAGTTTAAGCTCAATATAGGCAAGTTTCACTGCCTTAGTAGTTCCCAAGCACAAGAGAGTCTGAAGCATACCTACACAAGGAATTTATGGTGTTTGGTGTGGTTTTTTTCTAGGTATGATCCGAAGACCAATCAGTGGAGCAGTGACGTGGCCCCCACCAGTACCTGCAGAACCAGCGTTGGAGTAGCAGTTCTTGGAGGCTACCTCTATGCTGTGGGTGGCCAGGATGGTGTCTCTTGTCTAAACATTGTAGAAAGGTACTTTCTAATTAAAAAAAGTGGGACACAGGGAGAAGGAGGTCTCTTAGAAGGTGCAATTGATGCAGGTGAGCTGGAGAGAAAGCAATTGCTGTACAGATCTTACAGGGATTTTTGTTTGAAGAGAATAAGCTTCCTGCCCCTTTGTGAAGATGTCGACACTTCACTAATCTTTGTTGTTTATTCTTCTGCCAGGTATGATCCCAAAGAAAACAAATGGACTCGAGTGGCTTCTATGAGCACCAGGCGCCTGGGAGTTGCAGTGGCTGTGCTAGGGGGCTTCCTTTATGCTGTGGGAGGCTCTGATGGAACTTCTCCTCTCAATACTGGTATGTCTCTTGCTGTCCCTTAACTGCAGTCAGCACTTGTTGTGGTCATGTTTGTCATTTATGTCCCCAGATGGCTTTTGATTATATTAACGATCAGTTTGTAGTGTTTTTTTTTCTTCTTAAAATACGATTTTTGCCATACAGTAATTCACTCTCTAGGCTTGTGTGTTGCTTTTTTTTTTTTTTTCTTGATGCTGCATTTGGCAGTGTGTCCTGAATATAATGCTTTGATCATTTGCATAACAGTTGCAAGCACATCAGGGTTTTTTTGGTTTTTGTTTTTGTTGGTTTTTTTTTTTTTTTTTTTGGTTGGGTTTTTTTGTTGTTGTTTTTTTTTTTTCCCGCCTGCAGTAACCCTTTTCTGCTGTAGGAAGGAAATTACTAAAGATAAAACTACTGCAAGATGTTTATGCAGGTCAGTTTGTAGCATTGCCAGCTCCCTCTTGAGTGAAGATGCTGAATGTGATTGACTGTAGGGCTGGAGACAGGAGAGATAATAGCAAGAATTCTGTAGAACAAAAGACTGAGAGATAACAAACTGGTTCATATTTTTGGTGTGTGGAAATTGTAACATCTTTACAGATTGAACAATGCTTTGGTTGCAGGTTCAAAAGTGCTAACTGCCACTATGTCATTTCCTCTGCAGTGGAACGCTACAATCCCCAGGAGAACCGCTGGCACACAATTGCTCCTATGGGGACAAGGAGGAAGCACCTGGGCTGTGCAGTATACCAAGACATGATTTATGCTGTGGGAGGCAGAGATGACACTACAGAGCTCAGCAGTGCTGAGAGATACAACCCTCGAACCAACCAGTGGTCTCCTGTTGTGGCCATGACATCCCGCCGGAGTGGAGTGAGTTTGGCTTTGTCTTGTTGTCTATTCTACACGTAATCATGTGGTGAGAACACAGTATAGTGTCATCTTGTGAGGATTTTCTCTTGCTTTCTCTGTACCTTCACCTCTCTTCTTCTGTGAGAGGAATGGGGGAAAGGTTTGCAAAAAGTCAAAAGTTCTTTAGCAAGACTGAAGAATGAAGTGGTAGTCATATCATGCCATAGACACCTGTTTAACATGCCTGAGAATGGGGAAATGGATGATCTTTTTAATAGTTTTGATCCCTTATATGGAATCAACTACTTAGGTCTCAATCAGAAGAGTTCTTCAGGTTTTTACTTAGTGATGTAGCCATACTTGGTATGAGATATTTTTAGAGAACAGTATCAAAATTAGTACCCGAGTCTTTTTGGGTGAATTGGGAGATGAACATACTTACTTGCATAGAAGAGCAAGCTGGGAAATTGGGCAAGCAGGTGTTTACATAGAGGCTTCATCAAAGTCTTTTACTTGCCTTGAGATGTGTGTGGGAAGAAGGTTTCTGGGCTTTCACTTAGTGCGTTGCCTTTCTTCGCTGAATCCTGTGAATATCAGGAGTTGCAGCATCTTCTCATCAACTGCTACTCTTAGTGCTTTCTGTAGACTTGTTTTAAAAAAAAAAAATATTAACAGTGGTCTGAGTAGTCATCGTGTTTAGGCGGATGCAAATGCTATGAATATTTATCACTGGATAGAATAATAGAATGGTTTGGATTGCAAAGGACCTCAAGATCATCTAGTTCCAACCCCCCTGCTATTGGCAGGGACTCCTCCCATTAGACCAGGTCGCTGAAGGCCCTGACCAACCTTGTCTTGAACACTGCCAGGGATGGAGCATTCAAAACTTCCTTGGGCAGCCTGTTCCAGTGCCTCACCACCCTCACAGTAAAGTATTTCTTCCTTCTATCTAACCTAAATCTCCCCTGTTTAAATTTGAACCCATTGCCCCTTGTTGTATCACTACAGTCCCTCATGAAGAGTATTGGATTATATAGTAAAGAGTGGATTAATTCTGTCTGTAAATTAGCATTTCTTGTCTGGTGAGGCAAGTATGAATCATAACTGGTTTTGGAGGCAGAGAACATGTATCTATTTCCATCAAGACATACAGGTTCCTGTCCAATGCTGTCCTTTTTAGTTAATGATCAGATACTGACTTTTCATGAGCTGCTTCTTTATTTGCTTTCTGTAAGCTGCTGAACAGATGCATCTGCAGCCCTCATGAGTTTTCTAACTCTCAGAGCCAAAACAAGCACTTTATATTGTGTTCTTGTATTTTCTCTGTTATGCCACGAGATGTTTTCACTGGAAATGATCTTCCTAAACCACAGAACTATTGGAGATTTCAGTGTTGTGGTTGTGTTTTGTTTGGTGGTTTTTTTTTTTTTTTTTTTTTTTTTTTTGGTGCTTCGGCAGAAAAGAGAGAAATGTGGGAGTCCAAGATGCTTACAGATGGTCCAAGCCCCAGCCTGAGAGGAGCAAGCCAGGGGCTTAAATATGGGTCTCTTAGTTCAAGCAAGCATTCCAGGCTGTAGGCTGATAGATATTCTGGTGCATGCATGTCACAGTTGAAGAATTTCAGTCCAGGATATAGTAAGTTTTGTCTGACAAAGGCTTAGGTTCTCGTGTATCTGTTATAATTCTGGCAGTTCTAGTTCTTTTAGCTGGTAATAAGGGAAACCTTCTGCTTCTTCTCTGTGAGTTTCTCTGTTTTGAGATAACTTTTCATATCTCATTATTTTTAGGTTATTTTATTTGCCCTTCCCCCAACCAAAAAACCTCTACTGCAGACTGCCTTCCATTTTCATTCTAACCCTGCTTTTCAGGACCTGCCTTTCCAGGACATCCCAGCTAAGTAGCTGCTATCTGTGATGCTTGTTTTGCAGGTTGGCCTTGCCGTGGTGAATGGACAGCTGATGGCAGTGGGGGGATTTGATGGCACAACATACTTGAAGACCATTGAGGTGTTTGATCCAGATGCTAACACATGGAGGTAACTGTTAAGTTTGTGAAACAATCAAAAAGTGATTTCCAGCTATGCCTGATGCCACTCAGCTGGAGGTGTCCTAGACAAATTAGAAGTGTGATGTACACTCTAGAGAAGAACTTGTGTGGTAGCCAGCATAACACTGACTTTGTGGCTTGTTGGTTTGCATGGAAGCGTACGAAAGAGAATCACATTTTGAATAATACCACAATATGTCATTTACGTACAGCATCCATATGTCTATGACTGTGGCAGTCAAGAAACATTTTCTTGCAGATTTCTGCTTGAATTCTAGTCATTGACTCCATTTTAAGTAAAACAGGAGTGAGATTTCCATAGTTTTCCCATCTAAGTATCCCAGCAGATTTAACCAACACCTAATGAATGAAGTTGCATTGCATCTTTTGCAGGTAGGAACATATATAGGTTATTGAGACCCAGAGAAAATAAATGATTTAGCAAGCTTGTTGGGTAGCAAGCAAAAGGTCATACCAAAACCTAGTTTGTTTTTCAGTGCTGTTTTTGAATATAACACAAATATTGTATTTGTGAGATACCCTTTCTGTTTATTTTGGACTATTTATTATCTGCCTCTCAATAAAACTAAGCTTGCCCTTAGCAGAAGGAGCTCACAGTCATGATGTAAAATTAAGCCTACTCATTTTTTTTTTTCTTTCAAACTGAGGCTCTGATTTGAAAATCCTTTTGGAGGAGCTG